AAGGCGAGTTAATCAACAACATTGAAAAGCAACAAAACAAGTGGATAGAACACTTCAAAAAACTCTTGAATCGACCAGCTCCACTGAACTCACGCAACATCGAAGTAGCACCCACAGACCTCCCAATCAATGTTGGCCCACCAACAGTTGAAGAAATCAGCATGGCCATCAGGCAAATCAAGAGTGGCAAATCAGCAGGACCTGACAACATTCCAGCAGAAGCACTAAAAGCAGACGTAGCGGCAACTGCAAGGATACTCCACATTCTCTTCAATAATATTTGAGATGAGGAACAAGTACCAAAAGAATGGAAAGAAGGACTTCTGGTTGAAATACCAAAGAAAGGCGATCTCAGCATGTGTGCTTACTACAGGGGCATCACTCTTTTCTCAATGCAAGAAAACGATTTCAACAGGGTATTGTTAAACCGAATGAAGGACTGCGTAGACACCCAACTTCGAGACCAACGGGCAGGATTCCGTAAGGATAGATCGTGTACAGACAAAATCACAACTCTACTGACCATTGTGAAACAATCAATTGAATGTAATTAATCACTCTACATCAACTTCATTGACTACGAAAAAGCATTTGATAGCGTGGACAGAACAACACTATGGAAGCTTCTTCGACACTACGGCGTGCCTCAGAAGATAGACAATATCATACAGAATTCATATGATAGATTGAACTGCCAAATCGTGCATGGAAGACAGTTGACAAACTTGTTCGAAGTAAAGACCGGTGTTAGGCAAGGTTGCATACTCTCACACTTTCTCTTTCTCCTGGTGGTCGATTGGATCGTGAATACGTCAACATCTGATGAATACAGTGAAAACAGTGGACAGCTAGAATGCAGTTGGACGATCTAGACTTCGTAGATGATCTGGCTCTTCTATCGCACATTCAGCAACAAATTCAGGAGAAGGTGACCAGTGTAGCAGCAGCCTCAGCAGCAGTACGTCTCAACATACACAAAGGGAAAAGCAAGATTCTCCGATTCAACACAACATACAACAGTCGAATCACACTTGACGGAGAAGATTTGGAAGATGTAAAAACATTTACATATTTGAGCAGCATCATTGATGAACACGGTGCATCTGATGCAGATATGAAGACGCGGATCGGTAAAGCAAGAGCTGCATATTTACAACTGAAAAACATCTGGAACTCAAAACAACTGCCTGTCAACCAATACCAAGGTCAGGATTTTCAATACAAATGTCAAGACAGTTCTACTGTATGGAGAGGAAACCTGGAGAACTACGAAAGCTATCATTCAGAAGATTCAAGTGTTTATTAACGGTTGTCTACGCAAAATACTTCGGATCCGTTGGCCAGACACAGTCAGCAACAACTTACTCTGGGAGACAACCAACCAGATCCCAGTGGAGGAAGAAATCGGGAAGAAGCGCTCGAAGTGGATAAGACAAACATTAAGGAAAGCACCAAACTGCGTCGCAAGGCAAGCCCTCACATGGAATCCTCAAGGCTAAAGGAAAAGAGGACGACCAAAGAATATATCACGCCAAGAAATGGAGACAGACCTGAGAAAAATGTACAAGAATCGGGTGAAATTAGAACGGAAGGCTCAGGAAAGAGTGAGTTGAAGAATGCGTGGTCTGCGGCCTATGCTCCATTAGGATTAACAGGCGTAAGTTAGTAAGTAGTTTCATAGACATGGTGAGTCACAATTCACTGTGAAAATAAAATAGTAATCTATTAAATGAAAACATGAAATATACTACATACAATGGTTCTATTGTTTCTTCTCTTTACAGTCATTATTGAAACTTCATGAAATAGCTGTGATGAACAATGATCCAGCACTAACCGATTTCATTGAGAGTCAGTATTTGCATGAACAAGAAGATGCAATCAAACGATTTACTGACTATGTGACAGAGACAGATCGAGTTGGAAGTGGACTTGGTCAATATTTATTCGACAAGATCACACTGAAAGAATAAAACACGACTTCAGTTGAACTGTTCATTCACTGTTATATCGTTCATCTATTTCTCTGTATTATTTTATTATCAATAAATGAGTGATTCTCACTAACCTTCTCACTAGCTTTCTTATTGTCTTTGAAAATGTGAGGAAGTCGAAGTGGAGAACCTGTTTGATGTAGTAAATAAGTGAGTTAGTTGAATTTGAGGTTTCGATGTATGAAGTATGTTATAGACCCACCAAATGAACGAGATGAGTGGTATGTGATGTTTCTATATAGTGAGTGAACGGCGACATTTTGTTCTGCCCTTTAAGATTATACTATTTAATAAAATTTTATATTTCGTTGACATAATCTTTTGTTCTTATACTAAATATATAGAGAGACTATTCAAAATGTAACATAACCGCTGTACGTTGGTTATAAATAAGATTAACAAACAGTTTGATATCATTTGTAGGCCTGAAAACAATTTTTCGAATAATTCTCTGTTGAAAATATGTGAATTACATTTAAAATTTTGGATGGATCTTAGAGTAGTGTATGTTTGTTCGTTATGCGTTTGCCTGTCAGAATTTCAAGATGATGATTACTTTTAGTGACCAGATAAGCCTTTTTACTTCTGTTCAATTAAAAAAATATCTTCGAGACTTTTCATGTTCTGTTAAAAGTTCCCGTACTATAGTTATATTTCTTAAGCTTTGATTACATCATCTATGTTTTATTCAATTACGGATAAATATTTTTTTTCTGTAAGAATTTGAACTTTACCGGGTATTAACAAAAATTACCTAAGGGTTCCATATATTTAAGGATGTCCTGATTCAATATTAGTTATCTGCTACCAACAAATAATTTAAACATCTAATGGATAAAACTGTTTTATTCGTTGAATATTTGAATTATTTTTTATATTGAAGCATTACAACGCTGGTTGGCTTTCATTATACATGACTCATTAGCACTGTTCAAACACAACTTTATCAGTGATAGAATACAGGACATTCAAGCTTATCAGCTGGCTCTTAACCTTGAGATCCAGGGTCTTACATTTACTGCTAAGTCGTGATTTTGCACGACTCCCACTGATTACCGTTGATTATATTTGTCTAACATTCCACCTGGTTGATCTCTACTGTTCATGGCTTCGCACTAGTACCGTCAGATCAGAACAAAGCAGTTCTCAGGTGCTTCCGGGTTTTTAAACAAAAGTCAGTCTATTTTTTCAATTTTTAAACTCAGCAATTACTACAATACCCTACTATAACTTTGAATATTGTTGAATATACATGGAATAAATATTGTTTTAAGGTTTTGATAAAAGTAATTTACAAACGCTAGAGGAACCTCTGAAATCGTATAGTGCATAAAATCTTGCAAAACTAGGATAAGAAATGAAATCAACGGGCGACAACTTTCTTATAACTTTGAAAACAGTTTTCACCAAGGTGGATTACTTTAATAAACTAAGGCTTCTTATGGTTACGTAGGTCAGGTTACTTCAATTACTGTAATGACATCCTTTAGGTCTTAGGACAATATGTTATAGATTAATCAATTAAAGAATTTTTTAAAGTTAAAAAACATTGCTGCTTATATTTCAATGATACACTGTGTTGGAGACATTAGATCCCCAGAACTCACTTTGGAAAAGACCTAATTTTGTAATTTTATTTAAAAAATTTGAATTTCTTCGTTTTCGCGCCAAAAGCGCTGTTGTTACCTTCATGTCATATTTCCCATTCAGAAACATTTTAAATGCTATTGATCCGTTGCGTCTATTCGGTAACTCTCCCCAAGGACGGTTTTGTACTGTATATATACGTTTTGAATTGTGTTTTGTTGTTATCGCTCGTTTCTGTCTGTTTGCAGAATATACTTCTTCATTCCAAGCTTGGACTTCTTCCTCTAGTTAGCGGGGCTGGGAAGCATCAAATACCTAGCTTACTAGTCTTTGTTCTCGTTCGCAGATTAAGTGAACTCTTGATAGCTTCAACCTTAGCACACTGAGACATTTATTATTTGAATCAGGGATCTAAGTGTTCTTTGTTCCATCAGAAAAGCACCTATTATTCCAGTTCTGACAGAGTTTATTACGACATCTTACTACTTGATGAAGTTAATTTCTAATGTTAGGTTTATATAGTATTCTCTTTTACATAATTATCTATGAGATGAAGGTTAATGAATATTAACTTTAGAATGACGTGTTAAAAAATCCAATTAAAGCCATGATTTTGAGCCTGATTGTTTCGGATGTTCCATATCAACTGGTCAGAATTCGATAGAGTTTTTAAACTTCGTATAGTCCTGATGTAAACAATCATCTCTAATATTTTCATTACTTTATAAACGAACGAATCGATTAAGAAACCATTCGTATCATACATATTACATTCTTTTATTAATGATTTCCGACAAATGAAGAATAAGTTTTATTAGGTTAATTATTGCTTACTTTTATGTGGCTTTCGCTACTCAACGATCTTGGTTTGACATTCATTAGTGAATAGCTTTGTAAGATCAGAACGTTCTGGATCCCATCTTTTGTTATGTTGTTGTTACTCACTATTAATGAATCCTAAACTAGAATGAAACAACTCTTTAGTGATTTTATTTTTCTATAGTATCTCAAAATTAACCAATCCTAAATGAATATCATTTATAAATTAATATAATTCCCCCCCCCTTCAGAAAATAAACTCCCTAGATTATTACCATTTTTGATTTATACCAAAAAATTCATTATGCTCAACTGAAAATCATTTCCTCCCCCTTCCTATTATATTTCTTATTCATAAAAAGGGAAAGAAAAGTGATAAAAAATATTTTTGATTCAACCAATCAAATGTTCATGAATGATGAAATATCCCATTCAATTTTTAAAAAAATCATTATGATTGTTTAACTCAAATTAAAGTGATTTTGATTCAGACTAAAAGAGAAGAGCATATATAGATATATATTGAACTATTAATAAGTTAATTAATTCTTATACTTTCCCTGAAATCTTTTCGATATATTCCATTCATAGTTTCCTAAAATGGCATCTTTTACTACAAGTAGGTCACAGTGATATTTTGTATTCGAAGTGTTATAATTATAAGTTTTAATTGAACTATTTACACAAATATATAAACGAAGAATAGAAACCTCATAAATGACTAATTTACTGGTATGTAACAAGATTTGTAGTAGGAACTAATCACTAGTGTAGTTGAAACATGCCCGATTTAGGACAATAATCAGTTATGATGATGGGTGAAAATTGAGGTATACTACGAATTAATCGGAGTTGAAAGTACAGACCATCGAATTTCAGTTCAATAATCTTAAAGTATCATGCTCAGCAAGAGATTTGTATTCAATCCTCCAGATGAGTTGAAACTACGAGAAAACAAATCCCAAGTGCTACATGGTTATCGGTAGTTCTCCGGAAAATGTTAATTTATGATAAGAACTATTTTAAATTTTGAAAGGAAAAACAGATTCTACAATTTTAAACCTGACTCAATGTTTGAAAAATTTTAAACATTTGTAATCGACAAGTATTATATGAATTTAGGACTATCAGTTGAGTAAATAATCTCAATTACTTTACGGTCTATTATGCCTAGTGTGTATTTTTGTTTCCTTTTTTTTCTTTTCTACATGTTGACTTAATGAAATTGATTCTGTTCGTATTCATTTGTAAAATTTTAGTCAGAAATGATCCCATTTTTGCTAATTCCTACTTAGCTCATATTATTTCATGCATTTGTTAATATTCAGTCAGTGATTTAATATAGATATTAGTTGTATTAGTATTTATCTCATCTTGAATTACCTAAATTTATTTTATTACTAATCACACAGTTGTATTGTCTAAATAAGTTTCAGATTTATAATAAAAATTAGTCGTTTCCCGACTTACAAACTTTATTGTAAAGCAAGAACTCCCTATTTTACATAATCAATTGATGACCTCATGGATTCTATATTGCGAATTACAACACTCATAGCTGGAAAACATTTATCAATAGTTCATTGTGTTACAAACTAAAGGACGAAGTCAACTATCAATATCACTTACATGAATACAGTAGAATAAAAGTAAATGGATCCATCTAGATGTTAGGCATGAAGTATAAATATAATGTTTCTACTGTTGAATATCAATTAAAAGATTTTGAATGATAACTTTACTTACTACTTACTTCAGTTACGCTTGTTACTCCTAGTGAAGGAGCATAGGCCACTCACCAGCATTCTCCATCCAACCTTGTCCTGGGTAATCCTTTTCAGCTCCTTCCAGTTCCTATTCATCCTTTTCATATCTGCTTCTATTTTTCAACGTAATGTGTTTTTCGGCCTTCCTCCTTTCCGCTTCCCTTCAGGATTCCAAGTTAGGGCTTGCCTCATGATGCAGTTTGACGATTTGCGTAATGTATGTCTTATCCATTTCCATCGTCTTTTCCTAATTTCCTCTTCAGCTGGAAGCTGGTTTGTTCTCTCTCACAGAAGGCTGTTGCTGATGGTATCCAGCCAATGTATGTTGAGTATCTTGCGTAGACAACTATTTATAAATCCTTGTACCTTCTTGATGATAAGAATGTTTTCTTTTATAAATTATATTTTCATTTTTAACAGGTACATCATTACCTTCGAATGAGAGTAAAATGTTTCCAGATAACATTGTAAATTTAAATTTTCCATCATTTTTACCTTATTCATCAACATTTGCATTATTTAATGAACTTAAAACAAAACTTAAACATAACTCTCATATTATACAAAATAATAATTTACAATCAACTGAGATCAATCGTTCATTATCTCAAGAAGTTTATAAAGACAATATATCTTTATGTTCAAATTCTATGATCAATAGTTCTAGTAATTGTTATGTCGATTTTGATGATACCCAAACAATAACTCCAAATAATGATCATAATAATAATGAAAGTAAAGATCCTAATGATAACATTGAAGAGTTTTCATTGAAACTTGAAAATTTTGGTAATATTTTTAAAACTTCATTCATTCCTCCATATTATTCTATACAGAAAAATAATCATTTAACATATCAACATAATTCTCTATTACTTAAAAATAATCAATATCCATTACATATTAATAATAAACAATCAAATCATTATCATTCTAGATCTTTATCAGAAAATTCATCAATAAAATTAGAAACAGGGAACAATAGTGATAGCATAGTAACTAAAAAGAATAATATAAATACACAAATCTTACATCATAATGATGATCTATCTAATGAAAGAATAATAAATGATCATGAGAATACAATCAAACTAAAAATGAAATCATCCATATCAACAACTATGATCGAAGATAAAATAACTAATAAAGAATTAATCAATAAATCTATAAATCAATTATGTTTATCAAATCAAAATAATCATAAATTCATTGAATTCAATAATACAATGAATAATAGTCATAATGATGATATCAATGAACAATTAAAACGTTATCGTACTAGTTATACACAAAAACAAATTGAATTATTAGAAAAAACTTATCAATTAGATCGTTATATTAATCGACCACAAAGAGCTAAATTATCGGTTGAATTAGATTTACCAGAGAATAAAATTAAAGTAAGTAACTAGGATAATGTGTTGAATATGTTTGTTATAATGTATCTATATTAGTAATATCAAATATAAAACCTTTTTTTAAAAATGTATTGAATTATTACAATAACAAAAACAAAGTGAAAATAGGTTAATCCTTTGAGGTATGAATCTTTTGAATCCGATATGTAGACGATTATTTTTTAGTAGTTGAAATCATAAGTCAATTGAAGCTAGATCACCACGGAAAACCTGGAAGCACTGGACGGCCGTTCCATCCTAGTGTGGGACTTCTCAGCAGTGTGCATCGACGATCCCAGTGGAGTTCAATCAGGTCTGTTGTGAGATATCAGCTCACTAAAAACAATGGAGTATAGTGGTGCGATTTCGTGAATAAGTTGAAGTTAGACATTAACACCGTTGGATGCCGGCTCAGTGGTCTAGTGGTTAACGCTCGTGCGCGAGACTGTTAGGTCCTGGGTTTGAGTCTCGCGGGTGGCGGGATCGTGGATGCGCGCTGCTGAAGAACCCCATACTAGGATGGAAAGGCCGTCCAATACTCTCAGTTTTTCCATGGTGACCTAGCTTCAATAGACTCATGATTTCAACCATTGAAATTACTAAAATCTCTACAAAACTCCTTCTGATTATTTTTTAATGTAGAAACATAAAAAAATATGAAATTGGTCATTAATCTTATATAAGAAAGGGTTTCAAGAGGTATTTCCTGGAGTCCTAATGAGAAACAATAACCACTGAAGTTCAATCAGGTCTGTTGGGAGATAGGAACTCACCAATGACGAAGGTAAATGTGTCACTCAATTTCGTGGATTACTTGAAGTTAGACATTACCATCGTTGTATGCCAGCTCAGTGACCTAGATTTTTAAGCGTTCGCTCACGAGACCGATAGGTGCTGTGTTCGTATTTCACGAGGCTGGATTGTGGACTCACACTTCTGAGGAGTCCCACAATAGAACGAAATTGCCGTCCAGTACTTCCTGGTTTTCCATAGTGGTTTAGCTTCAACTGACTCATTATCTCAACTATTAAAAGTCTTGTGTTTTGATTTTTTTCAGTTTCATGAAATTTTTGAAACATGTTTATGATTCAAAGGTATGTAATCAGGGTTTTACTTGAGATTTAAGTAGAAATTGAGTAAATGTATATTTACATTGATAATTCAGGATTATTTATGTTCATCAATCCGTAGAGATGTTCGTTTGCTGATCATAGAGTAAAATATATCGATAAAGAGTGAATAATCAAAAAGGTTCTTAGTTTGTAAATGTATGAGTGGTTTACATCTATGTAGACCGAAATTTGTTCATAACAGAAAATACTTCCATATATTCAGGGTAAAGAAATAATTTTGTGAAAAAGTGCCACATCTCAACTTTGCGCATAATCATGCTCATTCTAAGCAAAACTTTATAGTGAAATATAAATTGAACAATCGCTTTCATTATTTAGATTTCAGTATCTGGTGTAATATAAATAATTAAATTTTAGGATTCATTCACCTCTTTTGCCTTAGCATTTTTTGTATTGCACTGTATGTACACTAGTCTAATGAAATCTTATTGAGGTCTTAGAATTTCGCTGTCAGCTTTACAAACTTTGCAGCATATGCTTAGTCTTATATTGAAACGTTAAATTACTTATGCAACTATTCAATCAGTTGACTTAACAAATACAATTACTGTAAGTATTAGATACACGTATCATTTCATACAGAAATTAACCAATTGTAATTAATTTATATTCAGGTTTGGTTTCAAAACCGGCGAATGAAAGAAAAACGTCAAGCTCTAATGCTGCCAACTGTTGCAGGTAACTAAACTTGTTTATTGATTTTAAAACAAATTAATCCCTTTGATAAATTTGTATAAAATAATAAGACAAAGTCTATCGTACTTAATGTGATACAATAGCGTAATACATTCCGAACAATCTGATCATAGGGAAATGGAGGGCAAGAGGAAACAAAAATTATGAAGAAAATAATGAGAAAAACAGTGTAAAACTCATCACTCCGGACAATAGACTAATATTGCCGCTTTTGTATATATATATATATATATATATATATATATATATATATATATATATATATATATATATATATATATATATATATATATATATATATATATATATATATATATGGTCAGATTATTCGAAATGCATTGGGCTAATATATCACATAGTTCTGATAATCTTCATCTTGTTATTACACTATCTAAATTAATTTTGAATTTTTGAGTGATGCAATAATATTAACGTAGAAAGTATGCTGCTTTTATCATCCGAGATAAGAAAAACAACTATTGAGGTTTACATGGATTTTATAAAATATGGGTATAATGTTGTTAGATCGAAGCCAAATTACAGTATAAGTTATGGACTCAGTAACTATCGCCTATTCAGTTCAGTATAGAAAAAAGTTGATTTTGGAAGGTACTGAGGTTTGATCCGAATGTGAATATCTTCAATACAATTCACAAACATTCAGCTGGACAGTCACTGATGGAACGAAATGCATATCATGGGTTCAGCTTCCAGTTTCAGTCCATATATTTTTAAAACTTGCAGAATTACAACAAAGGTGTAATTTGTTTAGGATTCACATTGGCTAACTAAGACTGATCGACATCCAGTCCTGAATTTCAATAACACGATAATATAAACGTTTAATAACAATATCTTTAATTTTATTCGTAAGTTAGTAATATTATGAATTGAATTATGAACATTATTTCGTTATTGAAGTTAAAGAGATAATCAGACCAAGGGTACCAGTTAAAATAATAATATCTCTTTCTCTCTGTTAGTGTGTCGTATTCAAATAATATCTGAAAGTATACATAGTATACCTTAGCAAAATGAAGTCATTAATTAAACAAAATATTAATTATCAAATTAAGTTTCACAGATTTGTTATGAACACAAACCCGTAACATTGAAGGAACCAGACATTTCTTGTTATGATCTGATAACTATGTATGTAAATCACAAATATATGTATTAAATATACGTAGTGAACGAACATTCAAGTAAGCTAAGCCAAACAATTGTTTCAGGCAAAATCATGCAAGTTTACTAAAATCTGAAAATCACATTTCAAAAACATTATTTGCACATCTTTTTTTGAATTGTCTGTTACAAGCTTCACTGTTCCTTTATTTCTGTTGTTATCTTGATTACTATGTGTTTCTTTTCCTCTTCTTTAATCTTCTCAATGTTCTGCTCGCAAATATTTTACTTCCGATTGGTGTTACATACTACTTTTATTAACAAACATAAGTAGCATAACAACATATATATTAAAGTTCATGAGTAATAATTAATTATCATATTTGTTCTTCAGAAGTAACGCAATGTCTAACTTGTAAGTTCAAGATATTATCTCCAAGACAATATTAAACTACATAACAAATCTCAATATAAACAATTTATAGCTAACATAGTGACAAATCATTGTATTTTTTCAGTCATTTCATACTTCTATTTTATTTAATATTTTAACACGTTCACCTATTTATCTTAATTATTTACAAATTATATTATACTACTACTACTATTACTATTACTACTACTAATAATATTTTAATTACTTTCAACCATTGTTGTTTCCTTTAACAGATGTAATAAAATGGTGATTTTTTAAAACAAAGCTAAAAACCCGCGATTTTTTAAAAATTTATCCGTTAATTCAGCATGAATATATAAATATATATATATACTACTTATAACTGATTAAAGTTAGTACCCACTTTTTATAATCACCTACAAAGACAAAAAAAATCTATTATAAATCCAAACAAGTACACTTGACATTACTGAATACAGTCAATCGGAAAATTACGTTATTAGATGAAGAAAAAGTATGTGTGTGTGTGTGTGTGTGCATAGTTCTATAGTCCATTTGTATAGAAATTGTCTAGATATTTTTATGACTTCCTTTTGAAATGTAATAACGTACATTCTTTTTTTAATGGTTAGATTGAGTTTATATTATACTTTATTAGGAAACCAAATACAATATTTTCAAGTTAATAAATTAAGTCAAATCTTAGCTTTATTACGTACTTTGATCAAATAAGAATAACTTTATTGTCATAGGTTTATATTACTTATTAATTGAAGTCAGAAATTAAAACCGTTTGATACCGAAACAGTGATTTAGAGATTAAACGTTTGCGCGTGAGATTGAAAGTCCTGCGTTCGAGTCCCGTGTGAGGGATAGTGGATGCGCACTTCTGTGGAGTCCCATACTAGCATGAAACAGCCGTCCAGTGCTTTCAGGTTTTTAACAGAGGTCTAATATTGATCGATTCTTGATTTCAGACTAAAACTTCACAATCCCGACAACTCTATACTGATGTGTTACTTATGGCTGGGAAGAGTAAAGAACTTAATGTAGTTTACTGAATTTGGGATTCAGTTTCACAAATCATTTAACTATAGTAAAGTTTTAACACAAGATAACTTAAGGCATTCTTATCGCAAAGTTTGTAATTTTTATACCATAGAGCCTGATAGTAATATTTCTGGAAACTAAACAAGATATATCTTAACTGGGTCATCGTTTTTGATAACTTCCAGTAACAAGCATGATATATGAACTGAACGACACTTTATTTTAGATAACAACGAATTCTCGATAAACCGATTTACCTCTTTTCAATACTTTTTTTTAAAAATGTTTACAAGTGTACAATTCATTCATGAATGTGTAGTATCAATGGCATATAGGTGACTAGTTCATAAATAATTGAATACGTTCTGTTATTTTGTTACCTACACACATAGAACATTATACTATGCTTTGAAAACGTTTAGTATTTTATTAGTTTTTCAGTTTATACTAGACAAAACATTAGAATATGAACTTAAATCTCTTTTACATCGATTGTAACTGGAAATAATTAGGACTGATTACTTAGAGGTGGGCGAAAATCATGTAAATAAAGCAAGTTGTCTTTGAGAAAACCAATATACGAACTGCTTTGCTAGATTTTATGCAATAGGCAACCGTATTCATTCATTAGAAATATAATTTCAAATTGTCAAACAATGGATAATAGTAATTCACTGCAATCAATTTTTATGACTAGATAATTCACACTATTTATGATGAATTGGAAGCCACAATTGAAAATGACAATTTTATTAATGGTTACAATCATTCAAAATGATTTCAAGTTAGTATTTTAACACATGTATTGTAAGGCAGCCAGTTTGAATATCTGGGATATCTGTTCCTCACATCTGGATATTTCAACGAGTTATCTGTTTTCTTGTTTGTTTTAACACATCATTACGTCATTTAATCGCATTACTTATTCAGGTGTGTTTATGAAAAGTTTACATTTCTCTGTACAAATTACAAAAAAGCACTATCACAGATAACTTGGTTGCTGGCAATATGCATCGAAAAGAATATACATTAATCAGATGTCGGTTACCGAACTTCTAACACCTGACTGGCGACCACTCAATAATGATTGTCAGGACCGGTCAAGAAATAAGAAAATGAAACTTATTGAAATACTTTGTGCTAAGAATTCTATATTGTACCAGAAATATAATATTGAATAAACCCAATAGTAATAATAATAATTTTATTATTAGTTGTAAAATCTATAATGATTGTTTATAATTTTCCTGTCAGACATTGAGTAAAGTTTCCAATGCCGACATGCTTTTTGATTAAATGATATACCAAATATGAATCAAAGTTGAATTATGAACTAAAGTGAAACAAAATACATCACACGTGTATATGTGTAAAAAGTTATCAACTATATGAACTAAATAGTTTAATGAATATTGCTGGACTTCTGAAGCAGTTGATGGTGGTTTTAAATTTCACTGTGGACATCAACACTGATATTTAAGAGTGATCCAGCTGATGAGTCCCAACTAAGACTAATTATATGCCCTGGTTACCACTGCTAGCCACAATCCAAGCTTGTTAAGAATATATCAACTGCTGTAAAATATATATAATCTAGAACCTTCTAACTTTGTTTTTTTTTCTTTCAGATAATTTCATTTTAATAGTTGAGATCATGAGTCAATTAGAGCTAAACTACCATGGAAAACTTGGAAAACCATTCTGATACTAATCAACAAATGCTCATCAGTGACTGACTTCAAGAGTTCTAGTGGGAAGCAATGACCAATGGAGTTCAATCAGGTCTGTTGTGAGATAGTTACTCACCAGAGACAATGGTAGATATGTCACTCAATTTCGTGGAGTACTTGAAGTTAGACATTACCATCGTTGTATGCCAGCTCAGTGACCTGGACCGATAGGTGCTAGGTTGGAATATTGTGAGGCGGGATTGTGAACTTGCACTGCTGAGGAGTCCCACAGTGAAACGAAACGGTCGTTCAGTACTTCTCAGTGGTCTAGCTTCAATCGACTCATGATCTCAACAATTTAAAAAATGACTTTATTATCCTACAAAACCCCTTCTGATATTAATTTCATTTTATTTCGTTAAATAAATTTTTTCCTTTATACCACACTATAAACCAAAAACACAATCCATTTCGGATAGGGACAGGTATCTACCTCAGTATAATGGAAGTTGGTCGCGCGATTTAGTGGACTGGTTGATGTTAGACACCATCACCATTGGATGCCGGCTTAGTGGTCCAGTAGGTTAAGCGTTTGCGCTCGAGATCGAAGGCCCTGGGCTCGAATCCCGCGAGAGGGAAAGTGGACGCTCATTGTTGAGTCCCACAATAGAACGAAACGGCCGTCCATTGCTTCCAGGTTTCGAAAGGTGGTCTATCATCAATCGGTTCATGATCTCAATCAAAAACTTATAATCAAAATAAATTTTCAAGTTATTTTTATATTTTAAAACTTTTATTTAATAAATTAAAACAAGAAAAAAATAATGAAATTTTATTATAAACAAACAGAAGAATGTCAAAATGAACATGGTGAATAATTAAATTTGTCAAATATAAAATCATTTATGAAGGAATTCGTATTACAGTTCAAAGATTCATTCAAATAAGAATGCTACTTTTGTTGTATATTACCATCTGGATATTTACTATCCCCTTAATAATAATAATAATAATAATAATAATAATAATAATAATAATAATAATAATAATAGTCTATAAATCACGTGATTAAATTTCAGCCAAACTAAGTAGTTGGTTTTGAGATGGTGAAGAAGATTTGTAGCTAAGGTGAATGATGTTGATGGAGTTTTGTTCTCTGAGCTCAGAGAACAAAACACTCCATCAAAAGTAATTGGTTATTGTGAAATTAATATTAAAATACATTCTTGTGTCATTTTAACATTAATACAATGTATAAATAGTGAATAGATCAACTAAGTGTAATAAATATAATATTGAATGAGTTAGAAATTATCATGTTGAATTGATAAACCATCTGTTTGTTTGTTAATTTGATTGAGGAAATGAAAAGAGGGTTATAAATTAGATGTCTAGGATATATAGATATATAGATATATCTTGTCATTTCACAATTATGTTTAAAAATTTGTGAGCTGTATACATCAGTAATCATTAGTTTTTCAGAAACTTACTTACTTACTTCCGCCTGTCACCCACTCTCCATCAAACTCTGTCTTGGGCAATCCTTTCCAGTTCTTTTAAGTTGTTATTCATCCTTTTCATATCTGTGTATTCTTTGGCCTTCCTGTTTTCCGTTTACCTTCAGGAGTTCAAGTTATGACCTGCCTAGTCATGTAGTTTGGTGATTTCCTCAATATGTGTCCTATTCACTTTCAACGTCTATTCATAATTACCTCTTCAGCTGAAAGCTAGTTTATCCTCTCCCATGGAATGGTGTTCTTGATGCTATCCGTGCAACAGATGTTACGTATCTTGCATATACAGCTGTTTATGAATACTTGTACATTTTTGATGATGGTTGTAGGAGTTCTCCACGTTTCACTTCCGTGCAGTAGGACTATCCTGACGTTTGTATTGAAGATTCTGACTTTGATATTGGTTAACAATTGTTTTGAGTTCCATATGTTCTTTAATCGTAGGAATGTGGCCTATTTTAAGAAAGTAGTAGAATTAAATTCTGGCTGTTTTTTTTAATATTTTAATTGAAATGAATAAATTTGTAAATTGAATTCTATTTTGTCACTATTTTAATCAATTTAAACAAACGAATTAATTCTTTAATAAGTAATAATTTCAATTTCAAAGTAGTTTATGTTGTCAAAATAAATTCTATGGTTTCATTTTTCTTTTTTTTTCCGTAACCTATGCAGCTTATATGCATCGATTTTGGTTACGAAGTACTTCTTCAAAAATGAAATGTTAGTTTTCTATTCTTGTTTTTCTCAAGGTGATATTAGCATTTTTAGGTTATATTCGTCACAGACTGATTTCATTTGTAGTACCTCTACAGGGCTTTTTCATCAGAATACGGAACACCTCAGAAGCGTTCACCCATGATCCCATCAAAGTTCGGACCTAGGATCTTTAAATCTGGCAACTGCAATTGCTTGACTATTATAAGTACTGGGTCCGGATCTATTTATTAATCAGAAAACATTATATCTAAGCATAATTTCCATTTCTTAAAAGTAATTATCAAATTTCGAATTTGAAATAAATAACTTCTGGAGATTATGTGCATTTAGTATTCATATATTATTGATATACGTCATCGAACAAAGGATTCTTATTTTGCTATCAAGAGATTGAGTTTAAGTAAATTTTTAGGTAAGGTTTGATATACAAAGGTGTTTTTACATTCTATGTTACCTTGAATTCCATGTAAACGTGGTAATGCCATGTGCATAGTTTGTACTTGTCCAACATTCTCATACAATATCAGCATGTAATACATTGTCAACCTTAGATCGATATAAATTTCTATGTGGTTAAATTAATTGATTAAAGTTATAAAAAAAGAGCACTTTATCAAATACATTTAACTCATATATTGAAAATTAGAATAATACAGTAAATGAGAATTTGACTTGACATTCAGTAATCATCAATCTGTTGTACCATAATTCATTACCAATCAAAGCTTTTTTTGACTTTTAGTTAAGATCTTGGATTCATTAATTAATGAGATATAAATCTGTTTCTCGTTTCATATATTTTTTATACTATTCAGGCAAAATATATCAATTGAATGTTTTGTTCTACTGTTTCCTAATTATGATTTTTTCCCACCAACTATTTTAAATACTTTCAATGGAAACTATGTCACCTATCTAAAAAGAAGAATAAATATCATACAAGTAAACATATTTAACATTGGATTCCTCACTCATCTATGTTGTTCACAATTTTAGTTGAGGTGTAGTGAACAGAACACGGGTGGGGACACGAAATTACAGAACTTGTCAATAAAATCTAACAGTCATAAGGTAAATGCTTAATTTGCAAAATGTCCGCCAATTGTCTCAAAATGACTCAGACTTCATTGTTCTTGTATTTTCATACAAATTGCATTCTGTTTCCATTCTTTACTGTTCGATCCTCTTGTATCTCTGCTGTCAAACCTTCTGTTCACGACTAACATCATATACTACTTATGTTAATATAAGTAGCACACACCACAGGAGTTTTCAAAATGAATAACCTCGAGAATAATGTTATCGTATTTAGATGAATACTTAATGTCTTTAAATACACTTTGTGATGAAGGTGCTGTGAAAAATAGGAAAATGTATACTCTGAACTAAACATCAAAGTAATAACTAAATAAAGACAATTTTATTTATTTGATTAATCACTATTTCATTATTTCAAATGACCAAGTTTTTGATGAAGTTTTGTTCTCTAAGCTGTATGGTTTAGTCGTGGAGCTTTCATCGTTTTTCTGAACAATATCATCAGCATAAACTTCAGGTGGATGAAAGTTTTACAAGTGAACCATCTAGTTCAGAAAACAAAACTTCATCAAAATTAATTCACCTGATCTACATATCTTCTTCACCATCTCAAGATCAAGTTTTATTTGAGTGTTTTACTTTTTAAAAAAAATGACTTTTCAGTTTTTATTTTTATTATTGTAGGTAAAGATCCTTATTTAAGAGAAACTCTTCTAAAAGTTACACAACTATATTGTGCAACACGATATGGAAATGAATCTCCTAATATAGATATCACAAAATTTCAATCAAAAGTTTCACAAAATAGAAATGTTTCTAATGAACTACGTAAACGAATAAGAACATCATCGAATCCAACCACAATAACATCTGTATTATCTAATAAAAACAATCATAATAATTGTAAATCAAACAAACCATGGGAAAAAGAATCCAATATCATAACTAACAAACATAATATAATTCATAAAGAGAATGAGGTTAATCAATCAAATATATACCTTAGTAAATCTATGCTAAATATTACAAATGAGCAAGTTATATCAAAAAAGCCTAAAAACGAGATTGTTACTTTAGATAGTTCTTATGAAACCATTAAATCGAAATATCAGAATCATACACAATTTTCTAATGATAATATTATTGATAAAAATTGTGATATGAATAAATGGACAATCATTTCTAATCCTTTAAATCTTTCAACTTCATCAGTTAGTAGTAATGAAAGTCATTCATTATTTGAAGATCAATTGATTCAAACTAAACAAAATATATCTAATCTATTTTCAACATTTCCATTCATTCATAATACATCTTCAATGATATTAGATGAACAGAATGAATCAATTATCTCATCTACAATATCACAAATGAATTCATTCTAATTTATTCAAATTATTAAATATAAATAAAAGTTTCCAAAATGTGCTTAATTATACTTCAATCATTATCACTGTTTTCCTTGAAAAAGCTTAAACCAGATTGCTAGGCGAAACATTTGATTTACTTCCAAATTCTTTCGCTGTGATTTTACAAATACATTTGTCCTCTTTCATATTATCACTGTTTACTATAAATTCATGTATGGAAGGGTTAGAACGTGTAAATGAATAACAGTATGCATAGATAAGAACCATTATATTGATATATTAAATATGAATCAATTAATTCTAGGAAAAAATCTTTTATTCACTACTTGATATGTATACACATAAGTGTACAAATGAAAAGATTACTATTCGATAATTGACCATAACTTTCAAATGATAACATGAGATAATATAGAAGGCATCAATGAATACAGTATACTACTAGTATCTAACAAGTAATGTATGTAATATACAAACACTTTTTTCTCCCAAATTCTTAATTTAATCAATTTGTTTAGCAACTTCATTACATTGTAGAATATTGATGATTAACAGTGGCAAATTTTATGGTATTCAATTTCAAACTGACATTTTATGAACAATGACATTGAAATACTTCCATCAGAAATCATACTGTTATTATCCAAATTTTGTGTGTAAATGAAAATAATATTTTTTGAACTACTTTAAATGTATCTTCTGAATGTTTTATCGCAAATGAATGTAATTTTCGTTAGAAACGTTATGACTTATAGCTTGGTTAATGATGTGGTTTGGGTTACTTATATCCACACAAGTAGTATATAACGGTGGTTAGTCATAGAATGTATTTCAGTAGAAGGTCGATGAGGAAAGAACGGGAACGGAACACAATTGGTATGAAAACGCATGAACAATGAAATCTGAGACAATGGGCTGATATTTTGCAAAAGGAACAGTGAAGTTTCAGACGATGAATTGACATTTTGCAAATTAACTATTTATTATATATTTCCTTGAAAAAGCTTGAACCAGAAACGTTGGATTTACTTCCAAATTCATTCGCTGAAATTTTACAAATACACTATTCCTCCTTAATGTCTCACATTAACTCGCCGCCCAAATACTATGAAACTATTCAATCAAATTTAGATGAAAGTTCTTATTCATTCACTATATTGTTCTCAAATTTTATTGAGATGCTCTGTAATCTCGTGTCAAATACACTCGATTGTCCCTATTCGTGTTCTTATTCATTACAATGATATAGTGATTATCAAAGTTATGAAAGTGGTAATCACTCGACAACCTCTTAGTTTCTGTATTAATAATAATAACCAACTGTACAATTTCTAAACTTATCAATCCTATGGGGAGACAGGTTTGAGAAGTACATAATGGAGATAGGAAATATTGTTTAACAGTACAACTAGTTTAATGTTATTCTCTACATACCATTAAATCGATGCTAATCACCTATCAAATATACATCATTATTTAAGAAATATTCAGTCTTTATTTATTAAATTGTTTACTAGTCGATTCATATTTAACAGCTTCTTAAAATGTACACTTGACACTTTTATTCTCCTAAATTAGATATTAGAATTGTAAATATACAAATTCTTGTGAATCAGTTTTTGTATTTTGTTTTATTTATAAGTCTTTTAAGCAAATCAAATGAAGGATTTTAATAAACAATTACAAATTACTAGAATCCAAACGACTCGAAAATATATCCTTGAAGTTAGACTACTTGAATTACAGGATAAGTTTTGATAGAGGTTGGCATAAATTTCATGGAACTGCTAAAATTACTACTACTACTACTACTACTACTACTACTACTACTACTACTACTACTACTACTACTACTACTACTACTACTACTACTACTACTACTACTACTACTACTACTACTACTACTACTACTACTACTACTACTACTACTACTACTACTACTACTACTACTACTACTACTACTACTACTACTACTACTACTACTACTACTACTACTACTACTACTACTACTACTACTACTACTACTACTACTACTACTACTACTACTACTACTACTACTACTACTACTACTACTACTACTACTACTACTACTACTACTACTACTACTACTACTACTACTACTACTACTACTACTACTACTACTACTACTACTACTACTACTACTACTACTACTACTACTACTACTACTACTACTACTACTACTACTACTACTACTACTACTACTACTACTACTACTACTACTACTACTACTACTACTACTACTACTACTACTACTACTACTACTACTACTACTACTACTACTACTACTACTACTACTACTACTACTACTACTACTACTACTACTACTACTACTACTACTACTACTACTACTACTACTACTACTACTACTACTACTACTACTACTACTACTACTACTACTACTACTACTACTACTACTACTACTACTACTACTACTACTACTACTACTACTACTACTACTACTACTACTACTACTACTACTACTACTACTACTACTACTACTACTACTACTACTACTACTACTACTACTACTACTACTACTACCAATTTTAGCAATACTATTAATACTACTAATACTGTGTTGTATGCAATTTATGTCGGCAGACATAAGTAGTATGCCTCATCGGTCAGGAATGGAAAACCTGACAGCAAAAGGCTAAGAGGATCAAGGTGAAGAGAATCGAAAAAGAAATAAAAAAGAACTGTAAACTAGAAGAACCATACAGATAGTGGGAGGAAACGATGGAGATTCGCAAATGAAATAATCAATGTATGGTCCTTATATTTTACCAAGATATTCGGTAACTATGTGCCGGAAAATTAATGAAGGCCTAAGTTTTCATAGTTCACTATAGTACAGGAAATTAGAATTACTTATGAATATATTTTTATCATTTTTATGTTATGTTTACAAACTTAAGCTTAGTATTGTCGGTTTGTTTTTTCATGAAACAATAGCTAACCATAACATCAAATCTACCATTTAACATAGATACAAAATTACAGATACAGAAATTTACGGCAAACAACATGAGAGTTTTACAAATTCTTTAGTGTTAAACAATGAAAATTGAAATACTAGGCGTTCAGAAATTAGAGATAATGGAAAAGATTTGTAGCTCAGGTGGATGATTTTGATGAAGTTTTGTTCTCTGAGCTGAATGGTTTGGTCGTGGAGCTTTCATCTTTATTCTGAAAGATATCATCAGCAAAAATTTCCAAACTTCTTAAAAGATCATATTTGACGCAAATCTATTTATTTTAATTGATAACCATGCCTACTGTTTGATATTTAATTTCATAGTGAACATCAAAGATTAATCTTGGTTAAAGCTACATTAAAAATTAGAAAGTTCTAGATCTTTGTTTAGTCAAAATCAGTCCATAATGTTAATTATGAACTTCACAAAATCTTCATAAATGACCCATAGTCAATATATTTAATTATTGACTATCAATTTATTTGATCGCATAGTTTGTGATTGAGATATATTTAATGTAGGTTTTCAAATTGATTCAAGCTATTTGATTTTAGCTCCATAACCAAATCAAGTCTTATGACCTACCGCAAAATGAACACTTTGTTGCGACTATCATCTAAAGAATAATGAACAGGAAAAAAACTTGTTAGAAAGTCAATAATTACTTTATAATATTCGTATGACTAACATATGAAAAGTTTAAGATTAGAAAAAACATTACTTGCTCACAGCTTACCAAGAAAAACATAAGCTTCCGGGTCACATTCTACATCAATCAATTTCGACTTACATGAATTAACCTAAATAACTTACTTACGCCTATTACTCCTCGTGAAGGAGCATAGGCCACTCACCAGAATTACTGTTTTTGGTTAGTGTTTTTTAGAGAGTTAGTTTTCTACGGTATGGGGTTGCTAACCCCATGATCGACCCTCCTCCTTTACCCGAGCTTGGGACCAGCAGTAACTCTAGAAGAGGTAGAGGTGTAGACGTGGTTCTTTTATTGAATTTTTGCTGCAAAACTTTAAACATTCTGTAGTTGCATACCAATAATGAAGTAAAATTAATTCCATTCAAGATAAACCTTTCCAAAAATTCCTACTTTTTTTTGAAAAAACAAACATTAAGACAAACTAAACGAAGAATACACTGTACAATATTTCATCAACAGGTTTTACAGTGATAAATACAAATTAATGTTTGTTATGTAATAGCCAAATTGAAGGCAAATACATCCTTTGAAAATTACAGTATACAGATTTAGAAATAATTTGTAAAATAAAATAGAATTTCCTATTTTGAAATTTTTAGTAATGTAATGTTCAATTGAAATTGTACAATTAATAGTTGGAATAAATGAGGGTAAACTGAGTAAGAAATAATAAAGTAATTACAAATCAGTCAAAGACTAGGGAATGGATAAGTTAATATGAGCTAAGTAAAAAATAATCAGGTGAATTAAGTGTTAGTTAAATTCTTTATATGTTATAACTGATCTTTAGTGATAGTAATACAAAGATATATGAATAATAATAACAATAATATTTGGATTCATGAGTCAAATAAAGCTAGACGGTGAACAGTCGCGCAATATCGTGGATTGACTGAAATTCGACATTAACACCGCTGGATGTCGACTCAATGGTCTAGAGCTCAAGTGTTTGCACGTCAGACTGAAGGCCCTAGGTTTGGATCCCGTGTGAGGAATTTTGGATGTGCACTACTGAGGAGTCCCCCATTAAAACTTTATTCTAATTAATATTTTTACAGTTAAGAATGAAATATATATGAAATAAGCGATGATCAGCCAATTTTACAATGTCTTCCATAAACCAGTAATCGGTTACAAGCTTAACAGATGTAAAATTAGAAAAAAAAAGATGACATTGTACTAATGATTAACTATAACAATTTGTTACGTAAGAAACAGAATTAAATAATTTTGAAATTAAACAAACGACCATAAATGTTTACTGTTATTTCTAAAGCTAATGGTATATGATTAGTAAGAAATGGTGCAAAGAAAATTAGAAAATCATATTATTAGGATAAACTAGTCAAGTATAATGAAGTATTTAATTGAAATTGAATAGAAATCAACCAATGTTTTAGAACTTAAAAGGGTTAAAATCTTTGGAAAAAAAATGTTGTAACTAAGACGAAGAAAGAGAATGGATAAATTGTTCCTTTCTGTTAACAACGATTAAATTTATTGATGTGTATATCTATGGTTTCTGTTTTATGTAAAAACGAAAAAAGAGGTTTGGCAAAATGCTACAAGTTTGATAAGATTCTAAAAATAACTTTGGAAGCTAAATTCATAACTTATGTGGTGACCGATAACTATTATATGCAACAAAAAAGAGATTCTTACTGTATTATTTTCTCTTGTAATCAACCAAGAGAGGTAATGCTTAGAAATATAGTGAAGTATATACCTGGTTGTAACTCCACCTGGAGTCCCTCCGGCGGCTGCTGCCGGTTCCAAGCCCGGATAAAGGAGGAGAGGTAGGCATGGGGTTAGCGACCCCATTCCGTAGGGAACTAACCCGCTAAAAACGCTAACCAGAAAAAATTATTCAAACCATTTAAATTCTGCCTCGGGAGTCAGAAGGTCTTCATTTAGAAGCGTTATGACGTCTCATGGTGAAAGTCGAGTTCCTTCGGAAGTCACGAGGCCGATGCTCCTTGTGACAACCAGAGAAACCATTTATTTAGGTATACGGAATGCTCGTTCAATGTGGGAGACTGGGAGAGCCTTCCAAATTGCTGCAGAAATGAGGATATACCTGGTTGTGCATCCAATTTAACTAATATAACAGTTGAAGTGAAAAATGCACATAAAAGCTGTAGAACTAAGAAGTTTATCTTTAGTTTGTGAACTCTGTCGACTGATTGAATAAGAAAAGACATCATTTAACTAAGTTAGCTGTTCGTTCTATAGCTTTTCCTATATTTTATATCACTATTTCGTTGATCATATCACATTTGAAGTGTAATAACTTTTTCTCCAGTGTTGTCATTGATTATACTTTAGGTTCCGTTTTCTTATAAAGTTTGGTGTGTAAAAGTTTTTACTCAGTTGATCATGAATCTATTGCATCAAAATAATCATAACAAAATTGATCTCATGTCGTCTAAATGACTGAAATATGGTTAGTGTTTTTGGACTGTTGAATATGACCAAAATTACAGGAAAAATGATTTAACTTATTTTCTCTCTTAATAGGTAAACATGAATTTCATAACACTTTTTTAAGCGACCAATATGAAAGCTACATGATTACTTCAAATAAACTACCTTACTATAAACAAATCAATCTTAGGTAAATAAATATCTAATCTATAAACGATATGTGAACATCACAAAATCTAAGTTTTCCTTTAAAATTTAGGTTTGTCGTTATATATCAGGTAGATTCAGCGTTGTAATATTTTAGAAAAATGTCATGTAGTGTCTTTGTTTTGTTGTATGTAATGTGATTTTATTAATATTCCAAATATTTCTCCTCTTTAAGTGGTGGATTCTTTGAGCAAGATATTTAATCGCAGAGCTGTTATTATCGTTCTGGAAAATATCAACAAACCGAATGGTACAACAATACAAGAAGATAGATGCAACTTCATCTGCAAAATACATTGCAGCGGTTATGGGCAATATTACTTTGGAGGAAGTGGATATCCTTATCACTTACTCATGAGTGAACACAAATTAGTAGTTAGGTGACAGTGATTGACTATCATTGAGATAAATTCACATGTACAACCATATATATGAGTTTGATTAGAGGAGCTTTGAAGTTATGAATCGTGGGAACACTAAAAGTTCCAGGGAATTTCTAAAACCATGGCATTGACACCATGTGGAAATCACTAAACACATCAACGTACATCCGATTTATCAATCTATATTGAAAAGGTCAAACAGTCACCGGAAAAGGTAGTCAACATGATCACGGGAAACAAAATGAAAAGAATAAAACCTACGAACACTACCATTTACGAAAAGTTATCAGAATGAACTTTAATGCACTGATAATGTTGTGCAGAATAACAATGAAAGCTCCACAATTAAAGTATCTAACTTACAGAACATATTAACACCGAAAGCTTCCACCTAAGTTATGAATCTTACCCATCATTTTGAAGCTAGTCTTTATTGTCCAACCTGCGTCCCAAATGTTTCACTGATTCCTAACACCTCCAGATTGTATCTTTTCATTTCTGCAGCAACTTGGATGGCTCTCTCGATCTCACACAATGTACGAACATTCCATTTACCTAAAGTAATGGTTTCTCTGGTTGTTAAACGAGGCATCGGCTTCGTGACTTCCGAAGAAACTCGGCTTTTGTCATGAGACGTCATATTTCTTCTAAATGAAAACATACTAAATCCCAGAGCAGAATTATTTTTTCTGGTTACCGTTTGTTTAGCAAGCACATTTTCTACAGGATAGGGTTTCTAACCCCATATCAGACCCTCCCCCTTTATCCAGGCTTCGACCTCAGATGGACTCGAAGAGGAGTTACTCATCATTCTAATTATGTAATCTATCCTGACTTTAGCTATTCAATCAACAATATAATTCCTAGTAATGAAAATCAACTAATCATAATGAGCATTTTAATTGCT